GTCTCCGAAAGGAGATGTCGTGGTTTAAACCCAGTCAGGTAATTCGTTCACTCACTTCCCCCCCTTTTGTGCCCTCCCCCTGCTCCCGGAGGGACGGAGAGGAGAATCAAAAAGAATGCAACTCCCACGGGTTGAGATAAGAACAGTTTAGTAACTAAGGTATAACACAGATCACTACTGCTACCATCAATGATAATAATGATAAAGGAAATAACAAGGGAAGAGAATACAACACCTCAGCACCAGCTGACCGATCACTCGCCCCCCAAGCCCGACCAAGCTCCGACCGATACCTCCTCCAACCCTGCAGTCCCCCAGCCCTTCTGGTTAACTCCCAGTTACCTCCTGGGCATGACGTGCTGTGGTATGGAATACCTCTTTGGTCAGTTTGGGTCAGGTGTCCTGTCTCTGCTTCCTCCTGGCTTCCCCTCCTCCCTGGCAGAGCATGAGGCTCACAAAGTCCTTGGCCAAACCAAAACATCCTTGTTATCAGCTCTGTTCCCGAGCTGAAAGTCAAAACACTGCACTGCACCAGCTACCAAGAAGGAGAAAAAATGACTGCTACTGCTGAACCCAGGACAGGAGAATTGCCCCGTGAGCTGGAGAGCTGCCCCTGCAGTGAGTGCCCACCCCCAGAGAGGGAGGGGGAGCTGGGGACTTAGCACCTTCCTGCCTATCACCGGGGATGGAAAAATGTCCTGATCTGAAATGGTTTGGGTTGGGAGGGGCCTTAAAGCTCATCCAGGTCCAACCCCCTGCCTCAGGCAGGGACACCTTTCAGTAGAGCAGCTTGCTCCAAGCCCCTGTGTCCAACCTGGCCTTGAGCACTGCCAGGGATGGGGCAGCCACAGCTTCTCTGGGCACCCTGTGCCAGCGCCTCAGCACCCTCACAGGGAAGAATTTCTTCTAATCTCAGTCTCTCCTCGGCTGGCTTAAAGCCATTCCCCTTGTTCTATCCCTACAGGCCCTTGTCCAAAGCCCCTCTCCAGGTTTCCTGGAGCCCCTTTAGGCACTGGAGCTGCTCTAAGGTCTCCCCTTCAGGAGCCTTCTCTTCTCCAGGCTGACCCAGCCCATCTCTCTCTCTGTCTGGCTCCAGAGCAGAGCTGCTCCAGCCCTCACACCACCACCATGTCTGTGAGAATTGTTCTTCTGAGCCCTCTGCAGCTGAATGGGAATTCCACTGAAAAAAAGACATTTCTTGTTTAAATAAGTCCCTGCTTCCTGTCCTGCTGCCACGGAAGTGACCAGAGTGCGAACATGAGTACTAGTTATTTCAGTGGAGCTGAAGGCATTTCAAAAGTACCAGAACTGACACTCATGCTTAGTTTGCCTCACTCCTGTTTCTTTCCTCCCTCCCTTTCATTTAACCCCAGTTTGTGTTTCCTTCCTCCTCCATCCCCCTTGTTTGGCTTCGAGTTGAGCTCAGGTCCGGTTTCACTCTAGTGCTTTGGCATGTTCTGTGCAGCCCTGAAGTGGAGCAGAGCTGGGGCCTTTTGAGGTTCCAGAGCAATCTCAACAGCAGGGGAAAATGCTCGGGCCTCTGTTTTGAGCCAGACTCAGATCCTGCAGCTAGGAGTTACGTGAGCTGTTACAACCAGGTGATAATGGAAAAGGGATGCCTAAACCCAGCTCTTATCCTTTCCCCTTATAGTGGTGCTCAGGAGAAGGCAGCCAGCATCCTTGCAGCTCAGAATGCTTTTGGAGATACGCCTCAAAAGGACACCTGTCCTCTTCTTCATTCCTGAGCTGTCTCCGCATCATTTCTCATGAGTGATCAGAGCGATCATTAGTACATCTCTTACTAGTTTCAGCTGCCACTGAATGATGCCCTTGGTGGTAGCATTTAGTGGTCCGCAGCAAGAACCAGAGTCAGGGGTCTGCATGTTGCCTTTCAAGGATTGAGAAAGCTGGTTTGTGTCTCAGCAGCGTTACGGCTTCTGCCACAGTTCCAGGCTCAGCGATGCCGTGGCAGGAAATGGGATCAGCAGCCATGTGAAATAAAGAGGAGAGCTGTGTCCAGTCTAGGGAGTGATTTGATCGCCCTGGCGCTAAGGTCAGTGTTGCTGTTTGCCCTCCTGTTTTGGAGGAGTTAATGCAGAAGTATATTCCAGGTGCAATTGTTCATGGACAGAAAAGACCTGGGAGGTTTGAGGTGTCTTGTTTTTTCCCTGCAAGGGGAGCATGACTCCATGGGTGCAGGTTCCTGAGGCTCGAAAGCATCCTGAGCAAGCAAACCCTAGGACAGTGCTTGCAGCATCTGTGTGCATCTGCAGGTCTTGGCTAGCTTTGAAAACAATGCTGCTGCAGGAATCATGCCAGGAGACCTCTTCAGAGGTGAGGGAATGTGCTGCAGCCAATACCTGTGGCAGCTCTGTGATTTGGACACAAGGAGGAAGTTAAGAGCCCAGAAGATACAATAATCAACCACAACAGACAACAGGGAGAACTGGCAAAGGCTGGGACAAGCCTTAAGTGTACAAAACATGCCTAATGGGGCCAGTATGAAAATGAGCCTTTGAAAATACACCAGCTCCAGCCCTCTCTGTTTCTCCACCACAGCTGGGGAGAGGGAGTTTGTCTTGGGCAATCTTATTTCCCCTTCCCGCTTTCCAGGTTGTCTTAAAGTAGCTTCAGAAGTGATTCTGCATTGTCTGTCTGTGCGTTACAAACCAGCCTTTGAGATTAATTCCTTGTTATTAGAGTATACTCAGCATAGAGCTTGGTTTCAATGCTTCTCTTGCATTTCCAGGGACTGATTTTGCTTTTCTTAGGCTGCTTGTTGGTGGAAGCTCACTGGAAATAGGACAAGGTGCCCCACGTCAACAGGCAGAAACCAGGAACGTGACAGGGGTTGCAGAACAAGTAAGTCGTTTGCTTTCTGAGTTAACAGTAGGAGAGCAGGTTGATACGGCTCAACCTTCATCTCTCTACAAAGGAATGAACATTTTCGTGGTCATCTGTTTGGGACAGGCATTCATTGTAACCAATGAGATGCAGAAGCCCAGAAGGGGATCCTACAGGAAAGAGCATTTTTGAAGGCTCTCTGTGCTGTTTGTGAAAGCAGAAGATGCCTTCCTTGCTGACCACCTCTTGCCTGGACACGTAAGTGTTGCCTGTCGTGAGCATTGACAGCACACCATAAAGGAGAACGGGCTAAGAGGGACCCTAAGCCTTTTGCTTTCCAAGGGTAGTTAATAGCAGTGTGTTTGCTGACAGCTACGAGGGTGACAACACTCACGCACCGCCTTAAGCAATGGATGATTTTTAAGTTCAGGCCCAATTTGTGTCTGGTTTCTTTCGCTCTCTTTGAAAAGAGACTTTAAAAGGCAGAATGAGGACCAAGCAGTGTGTGCTGTGATTAAGTTGGTGACGTGTGCTCTGCTTGCAGTGAAAGACCATTAATGTCAGAGCGTTGGATAACCCATCGAAGAAAACTGGGACAGAAATGATCAACCGAGTGACCTGAATGGTTTCATCCGTTTCTCTGCTGAGCTTCCATCATACTGGGTCCTGTGCCAAGGTATTGACACAAAGCAGTCAGATCTAATGTTCGGGTGAGGAGTGTTTTCTGTGATGGGAGTGGTTGTTTCCTATGTTGTTTGGCTGGTGTCTTCAGCCAGTGTCTTCAGCGTGTGACCTGCAGACACTAGAAGGTGACAGGGCACTTTTAGGGGAACTGTTTGTAAGCTGTCACCAAGAAACTTAGTTGTCTGTAGGTTTAAATGAGCACAATATGGATTTGCATTCCCTGGAAGAATGTTTTAGGTGTTGACAAGTCAGAAGAGGCTCAGAGTCAAGGCCCATGAAGCCAAAGGAGATACAGCTATCACATGCATTTCAACAACTCTCTAATGTTTCCCATGCTGACTCTGGGGGGCACTTCCTTCTAGTGCCCAAGATTTCCATTTGTGGCTTAACTGTTTTGAGCTGCTCTGTTGTCACTTCCCTGTGGGGTTGGAGGATATGTGGTGCATAGTCAGCAAGCACAGGTATTAGAGGGGAGATTTGTAGTCGGAAAGCCAGCCGTGTACATCGATGCGTGGTCCGGGATCCATCTGCAGGAATATCGGATCTGCCCAGATTTATGTCTGATAGGCAGAACGAAAAATTCTGTTCTGGGGTCTACAGTGCTTTGCCGGGCTCTGTTTTTCCATGCAGTAATGGCTTTATTTATACCCACAATGGTTTTAGTCTCACAAATGCCAGGGTGTTGCCACAAGCCGGTACAAATGTTAATGGGCAGGAATGGGGCAATAATCTCAGGCCACTGTCTTTACTCCATGCACAGCAATAGCTGTGTCCTGGTAATAGCTGCAGGCTTTGAAATGATACAGGCTGGCAGGAAGCTCCCAGTGTATAGTTTGGTGTGAGCAGCACGGATGCATTAGGTTTGGCATTGTAGTACATGTTTTTTTTTCTTGGTTTTAAGTGACCCTCTGTATAGCAGCACCAGAAGTGGATTTGTGTACTGCTGTGTGGGTGCTCAGTTTCCTGTGTTTAATTGCATGTTATGTACCAATAAGTGCATGGTGGAAACAGTGGCCTTAGCATCTGTTTTCCATCCCACATGGCTCTTCCTCTCGAAACTGCGATACAATGATCTAAGACCATAGTCAAAGCTGGAGTCAAGTCACTGAGGACAGAAGGACAAAATTCAAGTTAATATCAGACCCTTTGGAGAGGGTTGCCCCTTTTTAGCAGGTACGCCTGCACCTACGATCATTGCAAGTACTGTAGAAGGTTCCATTTCCTCTGCCTCAAAACTTCAGCAGCGCTGGTGGCTCTTAACACCTACACTGTGCAACACCTTGTTTATGTTGTGACTTGATCTGGTGGCTGGGATGGGGGGCTAGATGAGCTTTGTAGGCCCTTTCCAACCCAGGCTATTCTCTGACTGTGTGGTCTCTCCAGAGAGAAAGAGCGACAGTTAGCCCAGTAACACTGAAGATGTCTTATCCTGATGTTGCAGAGATGTTTTTTTTGCGGGGGTTGCTGTTTTTCATCCCTCTTGCCTCCCTCCTTCCACCCCACTCTTTCCTTTAGCAAGTGTGTGTCTGCAAGGGATGGAGTTGATCTGTTTTTTCACTGCTGGTTTTGGAGGGTAGAAGGGCTTCATGGAACTCCTTGGTCACAAAGTAGTGGCAGACACTATCCAGGCAGCAGTTAGATGTGGCAACACACCTTGTCATGGGGGAGATGTTCTTCATAACATGGAGCATGAAACAGGTAGCTCCAATGCTATCCGTTACGAACCTGGCAAGTAACCCAAAGAAGACTGGCAGAAAACAGACTAGAAATACAATCAGGTTTGCATAAAGAATGTGAACAGCTTTCTGGATTGGTTTCTCCTCTGGTGAATTGGTGTTCAGGCATCTCTTAAGGCTCCTGATCGCTTCTGTGGAGCAAAAAGTCAAGGTTGCTAATGGAAGAATAAAAATGAAGAACATGGAAAGCAGGCTCAGAGCAGCAGGCACGGTGGTATCCTTCTGGAAGCACAGGGTGGACTGGCTCTGCCGAATCTGTGCAGTGGCACCGATTATCCCAGAAACCCACAGAAGCCCACAGAGAAGGGCTGCCTTTGATGGAGACCCGAAGGCCCTGGCTTTCAAGGGGTGTTTTATGGCAATGTATCGGTCAGTGGAGATAAATGTAATTATGTAGGTACTCACTGACATGTTGATGAAATACATTGTCTCTGTAAACTGGCAGAGTACATCCCGGGCTGACTTATTCCAGAGCAAATAAGCCCTGAAAGGCAAGGTGCAGATGGCAAAGCAGTCTGCAAAGACTAAGTTGATTACATACACCCTCGTTTCTGTCCACTCCTTTATCTTGCAAAATAACACCCAGAGGGCAAGGACATTAAATAGAGCTCCAATAAAGAAAAGGACCTTATACAGAGCAAGTTCAAAGAGACAGACACGGTGATAAAGTTCTGGACTTCTGATACTGCAGTTGCTGGACACATTCATTGTCCTGTTGTGCAGAAGTTGTGTGATGTTCTGAGACCTGAAATAGGAAAAGACACAGTAAGACTTTCCTCCTACCTCTTGATAGATGCATATCCCGTAGAAAATAAGGTATTTAAGTACCTATTTACTTTGCCCATCACAAATGTGCATTTGAGTCTACAAAGCTGGCCGCCTCAGCCTCTAACTGGATGCATCCTCTGTCAAGCTTTGTGTACATTTACTCAGTTTAGGAGTAAATATCTCCAAGTACACTTCCAATAGGACACGGCAGGCAGTCTGTATTAAATAGTGGCATCTCGAATGGAGGGGTGGAATAGCAGTGAGAAGAGCCCCCATAGACAGTGAGGGCATCCTGTGACAATGGGATTCCTTAGGCCAGACTGTGCAAATGAGGTAAGGTTACCCTTAGCTTGGTTATGAGCTAGGCAGGGATTGCAGCAACCAAACCTAAAGCCCAGCACAACCCATGAGCAAAAGCTCTTCTAGCAGGTCTGCTGGCTTGGGAGACAGAGGAGCGGTGTGAAGGCCTGGAGGGGCATAGCAGATGTCACTTGGTGGACATGCTCGTGCTCTGGCTCTAACTGGGCAGGTTTCTGAGCCTTCGGGCTGCCTTGCAAACCTGGAGCTCCTGCTCAAAGCTGAGGAAGAGAGATGAATCCGAGTTCCTGCATCCCAAAGGCATGCTTGAAACCCTAAGTGAGTGAGTGAGGCATGTAGCCGTCCACTCCTTGTGAGGGCAATGAGGGGGTGCAAGGATTAACCTGTTTGTAAGCCCCTGCATTCCAGGAGAGAGTTCCATTCTGTGGATGTAAAGCAGACACTCATGCCTGAAAGAGGGAACACCAGTGCAAAACAAGGAACTTGCCATTAAGGGCTGCGTGAGATGGCTCCTGCTCAAGGCAGGCATTCTGTCACCCTGCCAAGTCTGTCAGATGTAAGTAGTAGCTACTGAGTCTGTGTCACACTGGCTGCAGGATGTTCTGCAAGAAAACTGGTTATGTGAAGAGTGTGAGTTCATGGGCTGATGGAAATCAGCTTTTGTCAGAGCCCATCCTGTGCACAGTGGCTCTATGTGGCCTGCAGAAGGAACAGTTCTCTGAACTGGTGATTCTGTGTGTACGTCACTGAATTTCTGCTTGCACCTAAATGCACTTTGGAAGGAATTTAACTTCTGAATTTGAAGTATGTGTTTTTTTGCCATTCCTACAGGAAACTGCAATGGTGAAACCCTACAGCTTTCAGAGATATAGGGAGGAACACCATGACTGAACAGGCTTGGTTAAGCAGTTGTTTGCCTCTCCAAGCAACTCGGACCTCCTTGTGGTCATTTGCTGAGAGCACTTGCTGCAAAATCAGACTTCAGTGACTGATAAACACACAAATAACTCAACTGCTGGGCGATATGTAAGTGTCTTAGGCACTCACAGGCACTAACGTGGGTCGTGCACAGAGCTCTCTCCAGTTCTTGTGTGCTCAGCCCTGGGTTTCCCAACAGGGGCTTGCTGCTCGCTGCCTGCACCCTGGAAGGAAGCTGTTTGCTGTCACCTGAGGAAAACCTCTCTGCACTACAGTAAGTAGCAGTAGGGAAATAGCTTACATCAAAGGCTGAAGCTGCCGCATTGTTATGCTCGTTAACTGCATCAGGCAGACGTCTTTGCTGGCATGGCTGATGCCCAGATGGCTTTCATCAGCTCTGGTCTGCAATGCCAGCAGCAGCCTCTGTGCTGGAGTACAAGGCAGGCAAACCGGGCTGGTGTGCTCTGCTGCATGAAAGGGCTGTGGCTGACACCACCCTTAGAGCTGGAGATGTGGCCCGAATGCAGTTCCCAGCATTGGGGCTCAGAAGTGCTCCAGGCAGATCAGAGACTGGTGGGAGGAGGGAGGAAATGAGCAGAGAGTTTAAAGCAGGCCATGTAGCACAGATGGGGTATGGCTGAGCACAAAATATCTTTAAAAAGATGCAGTCTGACAAGCTAGCATATCCTGTGGCTGCTGGAAATGCTTTACGGTGGGGTAGATAAGGTGGCTGCAGCATCAGAGGAGCTAGGCAGCAGCGTGCAGCTGTGAGAAAAGGATGGAGATGGCTGTATAACAGCATCTTGCTGCTGCTGGAGGACCAGGAACAGTCTGGGCCTCAACGTATGAGGTCAGCAGTACTGTGTCCTGTGTCCTGCTTTCCCCCATCATAGACTGGGGAGAACTGGGCAGTTGCCATCCCCCTCCATGGAAGGCCAATTTTTGCCCATTTCTATCCCATTTTAAGTCTTTTTTGGCTATTTCTAAAATATTTATGGCCCTTTCTATTCTATTTTTGCCAAGTTCTTACCAGTTTTAAGCCTTTGTTGTCTATTTCTAATCCATTCTTGCCCATTGGTACCCCATTTTAAGCATTTTTTACTCTTTCTAAACAATTTATGACCATTTCTATCTTATTTTTGTCCATTTCTTACAAGTTTTAAGCCATTTTTGGCTATTTCTGAACTATTTGTGGCCATTTCTAGCTTGTTTAAAGCTTTTCTTAGCTATTTCTAAACTGGTTTGAGCTATTTCTAACCCTTTTTTGCCCAATTCTAACAGTTTTTAAGCCATTTTGGCTGACTCCGAACCACTTTTGTCCAGTTCTTACCAATTTCTTGCCATTTCTAACTCATCTTTGCCCTTTCCAACTCATGTTTTCCCTTTCCTACCTTGGTTTAACTCATTTTTGCCCATTGATAACGTATTTTCTGCTGTTGCTAACCCTTTGCAAGTCTTTTTTGGCTATTTCTAAACAATTTATGGCCGATTCTGTCTTATTTTTGCCCATTTCTTACCTGTTTTAAGCCTTTTTTGCCATCTTTGCCCTTTGGTAACCCATTTTAACTCCTGTGTGCCTCTTGCTAAAAAAATTTATGGCCGTTTCTAGCCTGTTTCATGTTTTTCTTAGCTGTTTCTAAATTGGTTTGGGCTATTTCTAACCCTTTTTTGCCCAGTTCTAATTATTTTAAAACCATTTTGGCCATTTCCAAACCCTTTTTGTCCAGTTCTTCCCAATTTCTTGCCATTTCTAACCCATTTTTGCCTTTTCCTGTCTTGGTTGCTGTTTTTCATCCCTCTTGCCTACCTCCTTCCACCCCGCTCTTTTCCTTTAGCAAGTTTGGGTCTGCAAGGGATGGATTTATCCACCCTCTGCTTTCACCAGCTGGTCTGTAATTTGTCTGTAGTTATCCTCCCCATTTCTGCATTTTATAGAATCATGGAACGGTTCATGTTGGAAGGGACCTTAAAGCTCATCCACGTCCAACCCCTGCCACGGGCGGGCGGAGACAACATCACACTAGAGCAGCTTGCTCCAAGCCCCTGTGTCCCACCTGGCCTTGAACACTGCCAGGGATGGGGCAGCCACAGCATCTCTGGGCACCCTGTGCCAGCGCCTCAGCATCCTCGCAGGGAAGAGCTTCCGACTGAGAGCTCGTCTCAGTCCCCCCTCTGTCAGGTTAAAGCCATTCCCCATTGGCCTGTCCCTACAGGCCCTTGTCCAAAGAGCCCCTCTCCAGGTTTCTTGTAGCCCCTTTAGGCACTGGAGCTGCTCTAAGGTCTCCCCTTAAGGAGCCTTCTCTTCTCCAGGCTGAACAAGCCCACCTCTCTCTGCCTGGCTCCACATCCACATCCCTCTTGAGTTGGGGCTCAAGATCTGGATGCAGGACTTTGTTTCCTCTTACGCTGGCATGCATGCGGAGTGACACTTTAACAGCTGGACAGATCTAGATCCTCCCGTAGAAATACCCGGGGCCAGTAAATCAGAGCAGAAGCACATCCTCTGCTTGATCAAGGAAGAGGTTGTTTTGTTCAACTTGTTTACGTGCTTAATTCAAGAAGTTTTTTCCCTTCCAGTCAATTACATTCGTGGGATCGAAAACGTTGTCACAGGAAATCTCAGCTTGATTTGCCTTCCTGGGTTGAGATCATTGCGTTGCTTTTTCCTAAACAGCAATTGCTTTGCTTGCAGGCTGTTTTGCAGCAGCTCTAGGGGGAATTCCCACTATTTTTCTAATCGTGCTGTTGGATGTTGTAACGATGCAGGTCCCCGGTTTCCTCTTGACATTTGGGTACTACCAGCAGAGTTTAAGGCTCTTGGTGTTGTCTTTGTTGAATTAGTACCCATGCAGTCTCTCCAACCCAATGGGAGTCCACCACAGAACTCACAGTGTGTTGTCCTTGTTAACGATGCCTTCTGTCTAGGCGACGTAGGCGACTTGACAAAGCTTTGCCGTCATCACCTGCACACACAGAGCTCCTGCCCTCGCTTGGCTGCCTAGAACTCCGTCTGTGCACAGCCTCTCTGGTGCCCGCTCCCCAGCATCAGTAAGTGTTTCTGTAAGGCTTTCTTTTCGGAGGTGTTATATTTATAGGAATGGTTTAGGTTCCCTAAGGTTCCTTCTTGGTCCGGTTTGCCATTTTTGTCATTGGGTTCTGAACGTTTCCTTTCCTGGAAGCAGAGTTTTGAGGTTGCTTTTTACCTCTTGTGTGCTGTGTTGGGTTGTCAGTTGAAATCTTCACTGCTGGGAGACCCAAAGCAGAGCAGTGAGGAGGAGGGGGAAGCAGGAGTCGTGTTTTAAATGTCAGTAGCTCGGTGAAGGGAGCAGCATGCCTGGTGGTTGTTGCCCATCACCTCCAGCTGGGGATCTCGTGAGCGGTTCCACCAACACAGCATTCCGGCCACGCTTTCCCTTCTGGCTTTTTTCAGTGCCCTTGTGAGAAGACATCCTCA